GACTCAATTCAATTTAGTAACATTTATTATTGTGCCAGACCTAATCATTAGACTAAAGGTGCGGTCACATTCACCGTTGTTCAGAGAATTTTCACTGGCAAAATACAGAAATCTTGAATCACATGGATTCAATGCTTTGACCAAGAGAACGCTGCTTGAAAGTGACTTCTCTGTGAGCGGTGCTTCGTGACAATGGACCTTTCCCCCACAAAAGTCACTAATGTGACTGCAAATATCCTAAAGCAAAACATTTAAGAGCCAAAAGATGTTTTAGCTGCCAAACTACAGAATTTTTTTATTTTGATTTATTGAAAGAACAGATGCAATTTGTCACACAAAATCACTAAAGCAGGCACGAAAGAGAAATAAAGATTTAGCCTATAGTGTCTTTCACTAATAATCACAAACAGATTTTAATTTAAAATATCATCAATTGCAGTGCTTCTCAATTTCAGCAGAATGACAGGAAAGCCTAGTGTGTTGCGTCTGGAGTGTTCACGTTCATTGTCTCTGCACTGATTTAACTAATTTGATTTGAGTTCACTGGTGTAACTAATCTAAACCAGAGCAAAGGTAACACATACATTAGCAAAAAGCAATGTATGAAATGCTTGAAAACACACTCTATAACCAAAATCCCCCAATTTCAATAGGCACTTGGCACTTACTAATCACATCACACTGCAGCTTTCATATATGCTCTCACTCTCTTGCTGTGCTTGGGCAAGATAATCTGATCTGCTGGCAGGATTTGTCATACACAGAGTCACACACACAATGAGAGAGAGAAAGAAAGATACAGAGCAACAGAGAGAGGTTTAACTGGCCCCCTGACCTCGTTCTGAATTGAGGACAGATCATGTGTGCTGAATGCTTGAGCTACTGTAGAGGAACTTTGCCCTTGTACTGATGTAATGCTCTCGGTCTCTCCTCTTCTGCCATCATTCCCTCTCACTGTCAGTCTTTCACTCTCACAATTACCCACCCTCTTCCTTTCCATCCATCTTGCTACCACAAAACACCTTTTCAACCCCTATCACTTATGTCATCACAAAACAACACAAAAGGCTAAAAGGACCAAAGACAGAGCATAATTTACACAGCCAAAACTAGACCAAAACAAAAAAGGGGGCTACAACTGCTTTGAGTGTTCGATTCTTTGCTTCGTATCATGCAGCTATGCTTCTTACAATTTACTTTCGATTGTAGAACATTTGATTATGTATGCTACGAAATTTCAGTAGCACTAGTGGTTCTTCATCTTACTCGGACGCCCATCAAAAAAGCAAGTTGACACTTCTGCAGTGGAGAAGGAAAGGATGTGGAAGAGCAGACATAAACACCTTATCCACACACAAACACTTTAGTATTCAAGTTAATCCATCCTACCAGCAGCTCCCGGTATCTCAGGGGGTGTTAGTCCATCTCCTGCGAGAACAGCCAGCCCTACTCTACCAGGCTCTGATTATACAGCTCAGCTCACACACACACACACACACACACACACACACACACACATACACACAACACATTCAACATTCAGACTGAGGAGAAACACAGCTATTCCCAATACACCCACGCACATATTCAACACTATGCTTTTTATATGGCAAAAAGAATCACAATATTGGAAAGGGAAAACATCATATTTTTAACCTAGCATGCACAGACATATACACATACAAATATTACTGCATTAAAGCAACAATGGTATGGATGAGAGATGTTTCTGGTTCTGTTCATCGATTGTTGATTGGATGGAAGCAGATCTGAATAAACATTTGTAGTCAATTGGAGAAGTCTGATATACTTCAACAGGTTACCAGAGAGAAGTCTGTTATTTCATCATAGTAAAGACATTTTGACTAAAAATTATAAATGGTTGAATTGTTCACAATAAGATTAATAATATGCAAAAAAGTTAAGGTGAATTTCAATTTCATGCCGACCTCAAGCAAGAGATGGGTTGAAAACTACTGGCTCGAGAGTGGTTGTGCCAACAGATGTAGACTAAATTATTTCTTTATTTAATCAGAAAAACAATGTTAATTGTGTATTTTACTTTCATTTTATTACAAACAGGCCATCAGTGGAGGGGCATTAGGACCCGGGGAGGCTGTCGCCGCTGCTGCTGCTCACGCTAGTGACTGATGACTCTGTCGCACACGGACATGTCATTCTGTACTTGCATTCTCAAATTAAATACGGAGATCCAAAACAGAGAATCCAATCACCATTCAGACAAAAGTTTGCTTCAAGAATGACCACACTGTTGATGTGATCTTATCGCTAGTCCACCTTGAGCACATGCGAGTTACTTGACTTTTCGGCAAGGCATATCGATATAATTTTTCATATACGGCCGATGCCGATGTTTACATTTTAAGCCATTATCAGACGATTCCATTAACATTCCGATAATATTATGCATCCCTAGTTTAAAGTCCACAAAGTAATATTAAATATGTATTCTGAGTTTTTCACACCACAGTAAAATGTGTTATTAACCACCCAGCCAAATTTGTAGTAAATAAATAACATTAGTTATCAAAATTAGAGATGCACCGAAATGAAAATTCTAGGCCAAAGCCGGAACCGAACAAAATTAAAACACTGGGCTGAAGGCCAAATACCGAACACAAGAGTTTTTTTCCCCATGTATTTTGCCCATTTTTTTTTCACCATTGTATAAATTAAAAAGCCAAAATGTGCTTTTTACTGTTTTGTCTTGCTTTTCAAATAAAAAAAATCAATTACAAAACAACAATTTAAAAATATTTAACACTGAACATTTTTAACATTATAGCAGACACTATACCAACAAAGCACAATTTAACTTAAAATTAATAAGTTAGTAAAATAATTTTTGGCCATCAGACCCCCTTCTTGAATCAGGCATGTATTTTTAACTGTACAATAAAAAGCAGCCTTGCTGAGAAGAGACTTCTTTTAAAACATTAGAAATTACAGATCCTAATTTGAACGCTATGTGTGAATGTTATAATAAATGTATTAACAGAGCTGTTGTAATCATTATCATCATTATTATTGTCTTACTTTTTATTTTATTTTACAGAACAACAGTAAAATTACAATACTAACATTTATGAATGTTGATAAGAGTTCTTGCTTTTTCTCAACTTTTATTTTGGCGGAAACGCGCAGGAAGACCTCAATGCTTCTTTTAGTTGACAACAGATTTATAAATGAGTCTCATTACGAATACGTCGTACGAATCGCATTGTCACATGCCTTGTAAATTCATAAAATGTGACTGAGCAACTGATGAGTAGCACGTGTGTACCTTGGTTAACAAGCAGATCCGCAGCGAGTTCATGCAGCGCTGTCAGAATACATGCAATGCGCTCGTGTATTTGAAAACATAACGTTCTGCAGTTTATTTACTAATTGTTTAAGGCCATTTCGCGATTTCAATCATCATACAGTAACCAGCAACAATCACCCCTTCCTCTTCTCATCGAAGACATGCGATGCCGTCCTAAACAGTCTCTCGCTGTCGGTGCTTGTAATGATTTTTGCGTCTTTCTTCGACAGTTTAAATGCTTCCACACTGCTGATGTGTGTGCTGCATAATAAAGAGTGCGCGCCTCTCATTCTGCGCTGGTTGCTATTTGATCGCATCATAATCATTGTTCGGTACAATTTATTCGGTCTTTTCGCTTATTCTCGGCTGAATAATTTCGGTTGCCGAACATTCGGTGCATCCCTAATCAAAATCTTGAAAAAACAAGCAGTATTCTCTGCTCTCAAACGATGGGGGCGTGTCCGCTGGCGGTACTGAAACCACGCCCACTCACGGGAAACCTCTCTCTCCACTGTCAAATGCAAATAAATTTAAATAAGTAGACCGAGCTGTTCTGTAAATTATCACAACCAGGTATTATGCATTTACATGACGAAGGCAAAGCTAGCTAGCAAACTGTAGGCTGTAGTAACTAACGGTAATGACAGTAACTCGCAATTGAGCGGGCGAAGCACTTATGATCATGTGCTCTAGTTATATTAGGTGTGTTCGACTTGAAGCAGCACTGCGCATAACGATCAGTGTATGACATCAAAGTACTGCGAGAGCAATTCAAATGCATGGAGCCATCTGCTCTCTATAGCTCTCACTGTACTTTGATGTCACACACCGATCGGTCTGCGCAGCGCTGCTTCAAGTCGAACACACCTCTTATTATAGTGTTAGGGGAGGGACCATGCTCGGTGGCTCCATTGCATCATCGAGTCACGATTTTAGCCCTGCCCAAAAAATTCTGAATACGAAAATGGTGAAAAACTGTTTAACAGTCTAACTCCACAATTAAGTACTACATTGTTCACAGTCTTTGTAACATGTTTCAGCAATGCATTTCTAACATTTATAATGTGTTTAGAAACAATTCTCAGAATTGACTTTACCCAGACTTTAAACAAGTATAAAGGTGGTGTTATCGGTCATAACTTCTGGCTAGATATAGCACAGACACTAGACGAAGATGATTATCAAATGGAGCATAGTTTGAAAGGCTGCACGCTTTGCTGTATCCACACGCTGAGCCGCTTCAGACAGTGTGCCAGTAGCACTTCAATGGACAAAAACACACAATTTTGTCAAAATGCGCAGTTTTTGACGAGTGACCTCGTAAACGTCTTAACCGAGTTATAAATCCTAAATGACAGTAAAGATTTGGGAGATCCGGCCCTCAAATTAGTAAAACAATAAGCAGCGTAAAAATGACAAGGGTCATGACAAAACAGGACTTTGTGTACAGGCCTAATGCATCCCTTAAGCAGCATCTTGAATGAGAGTAAAACTTTCATTCAATGTTGGCCATTGCTGTCACAGTCTTCTGCCACAATTTTGAAGGGCTCAGCAATAGATTGTGGGCAGAATGGGCAACTGAAGGACATAAATGGACAGGACTGAACAGACAAGATCTCAGTGCAAGGCAACTCTGGCAGCCACAATATAGTTTGTTTGTGTGCATGTTTTGTACCTTTCACTGCCTGGTTGAAATTCAGACAGAAGGGATGGTCTGCGGCGGTGAGGGTGGGCCAGGGATCCATGGGGCAAATGGGAACCATAGTTCCGAGCGTGAGGATGGTAGTCCACCAGTCCACCAACATCCTGAAATAAAAAACAAGACATTTCACATACTCACATAATGAAATTATATAAAGAATGAGACTACTGAAATTTAAGATTAAATACAGATGTTTCCAGATTTAATCATGCTTTTTATGACATGAAAACCAGAAAAAGATTCCAGATCAGTGCTAAATGCTGAGAGCAATTAGCCTAAATCTTTGGTACTCAAACCAAAGCTTATAGATTTTATACAGCCCTTTAGTTGCAGCTTAAAGTCTTACTTTTTGCATGAAACTGTTCACGTCACATCAGTCATGTACCTACTCTGGAAAGTAATCCATCCACGAAAATGAACTTTAGTCAAGAGTCTTAAACTCTGAAGTGTTACAAAGTTACTAGTTATATTGCTAGTTTAGGCTAAATTCTATTAAGCTCAATATTAAGGATTACCAAATATTTGGCATCAAATGGTACAGGAAAACATGAACATCTGCTTTGTGTCAGACAAAGGACATATTCCAACATGAATAAAGGTTTGGAGGATGAAGTGTTGTTCCACTTGGCTCCTGAGCTGAATAGAGTTAAGTACCACTGATTTAGATTTTCTGTGTGGTTAATAAGACCAGACCGTAATCTCTGCTGGATGAAGATGATGGCTGAGGGTAAAATCTCACATGATAATCTTAGGTAACGCAAGATAATCCTTTGTTACTAAATTCTGGCCAACTATTACAACATACAATAAATAACAGTTAGTGTAACAGTTTTTCTTAGCTCACAGGTCAAAGTCCCAGGTTACAGATTAGTGATAAATAAATAGCATTTTTTGGAAAGATTTATAGATAATAAAAACTGAGGTTTTGTTTTGTAGTCAGTGCAGTACCGTATGGGCTCTCAGCTGAGGAAGGGTGGCAGAACTGGGAAGGTGACGCGCGTCCACAGCCCTCCTACCCTGAGGCACTGGCTGAGGGTGCGAGGACATGCTGACGATGCAACTTCCTCTACACACTAAAAGTGGGTGTGGTCTTGTCACAAACACTGTGCATCATGGGGCGTTGAGTCCTGGCAGTCACCGACCTGGAAGGAATGAGAGAAAAAACATTATAGATTAATTGTTAATAATAATAAATATTTATTAACACAACAATCAATCTGTGGAGTAAAACTAAATTGTGGGCAAAATCATACAGTGTGCATCAAACTTCAGAAAGCCAGGATAAGCAACTGAGAGTTTGATGAGTGAGAGAGAGAAAGAGAGAAGTCCTAGCCACCACCTGCTGCTGGCCGGATACATGTCAGCACACTGTGTGAATGAATGGATCACCCTGTATCCCCCTCTATATCCTCTTCTTCATTCTGTCTCTTTCTATCCTCATTAGGGCAGCTGGTGTGCTCTGCTGCATGATGATACTCCCTTTTTCACAGGTACAGCAAAAATACACAGCATGGCTACACCAAGTTAATGTTCAAAGTCCCTTTAAGGCAAGTCTGTTCACTCAGCAACTATATTGGTAACATCCCTGGGTAGCTATTTTTTATGTAGACCACAGGCATGTATGTACAGCTCATATCTATTTAAATAAGGAGAGACAAATCGTATTAAACAATGCCTAGATCAGAGCTGCCCAAACTTTTTCCTACGAAGGGCCAAAAATCAAACTTGATTGAGGGTTGTGGGCCGAAAATAAACACTGCATTATATCACACTGTATTAAATCAAAATTAAAGTTTTCATGGTTCCCATCATTTATGAGTTCATAATATTTAAAAATGAATTAATAGTTTTATAGTTTAATTAAACGTATGGTACAATGAAAACATGGAAACACTCCCATTTATAGTACAATAGAGTTCAATGTCTAATACAGCTATAAAAGATAAAAGCAACACAGACATAGAGCACCAACTCAGAACAGATCAATCCCAAACGCACCAGGCAATGCTTAAGAATACAACGGCATTCCTAGAATCATATATGATGCTGTCACTCAAATCTGACACAAATCTTGGTAGCCAGTTCGATATGCAAGAACCGTGCCAAAGTTTTGCAAAAACATCACAAGCAAGTGAGATCTACAGAGTTTGCATAATGTTAAATCAGCAGCCTTTCAAGAACCATCACATGCAGATGTTACCCGCAGGGTTGCTTTGTAACGAAGCCAAGTATTGTGACTTATGTTCAGATACGGGCCTACTTGTTAACCCCATGATTTACTCACCCTCAAGCCATCTTAAGTGTATATGACTTTCTTCCTTCAGACAAATACAATTTGAGTTATATTTTAAAATGTCCTGGCTCTTCCAAGCTTTATAATGGCAGTGAATGGTGGTCGAGATTTTGAAGCCCAAAAAAGTGCATCCATCCATCATAAATAGTACTCCACACGGCTCCAGGGGATTAATAAAGGCCTTCTGAAGCGATGCAATGTGATAGAAAATATCCATATTTAAAATTGTATAATCTGTAATCGCTAGATTCATATGTCATATGCGCTAACTGTCATATGCGCGTTCACGAGAGAGTAACGTTCCAGCGGACGACGTAGGACATAGGCACCTGCTCCCGCAGAAATGTGTTATCTTGTCCCACTCCCGCCCGCAACATTCATGTTTTGTCCCGCTCCCACCTGCAGAAGCCCACATAAAAATAGCCAAAATAGATTTTTTTTCAGTACATCCATGACATTTACATGAAATAGTAAGTTCCGTCTCGCCTAGCCAGAATAGCATAAACACTCCCGTTAAAATGTTAATTATTAAAGCATCAACATTCACAAACCACTGTTATTTTTAACAGAAAAGCAAGCATAGGCTGCTGCGTGCATGGTTTGGGCTTGGCAGAATGCGAGCAATGAGTGATCCCTTTTTAATCACTAAAAAGCTGACATCTTAGTTCATCGCGATCTCACAAAGCTGTTATAACAATGAATAAATGCACAACGAATCTTTCATAATGTCTACACTATAATGAGAGGATTCATAAGCACGCAAATTTCAGCACTGTACAAGAACTGAGCATTTCAGCATTGCACAAGAGCCGAGTGGATTCTAACTTAAACACCACTGATTGGCAATAGCGTTCCAGAAATCAACAGATATGTCTGTGATTGGCTACATTGCTCAACTCTGAAAACATGCGTTATAAATAGGGATGCGCCGATCCGATATTCATATGGGGTATCGGCTCCGATAGTGCCATTTTTCTCGGATCGGGTATCGGTCAGAGAGAACCGATCCAAATCCGTGATTTTTTTTTTTTCCCGATTGTGCGAATTATTCTGTGTTACTTCTGAAGCCATACCATAGCTTAATGTGAGCTACATATGAATATTTAAGTCCTTACATTAAAGTTCACACAAACTCTTTTCTCCGCTGTGGCTGTCAGTCATTCGTTCAGCCTTTAAACCCTGCTCGCGTTCAGTTACAGCAGTCAGCTCGGTAAAGCTCTCTCCAAGATCATTCTGTGTTCCCATTATACTTGATTTGTAAATACATGTCTATGATTTTGCAAAAAGGACTTTATCTTCTTGCCGGAGTTTAATGTTTTGTTACTTGCTACCGGGTGTCTGTGAGAACAAAACACGAGCTTAGAAAAAACTATAAATAGTTTTTAACGTGCACAGTAACTGAAATTTAAAACTGTTAAAAGAAAGGCTCAATAACAGTTGCACAGATATGATACACTACGCATAAATTTCTCTTCCCCTTGTGCTTTGCAGTTTTTAACACGAAGCGCTTACAATGCGCTTCGTGCTCATAGACTGTCAACCCTCTACACTGCGAGTAAATCACTCACATATACGACTAAATCTTCACTCTGGGCGACTAAATGATGTCTAATATTAGCCAATGGCTAATAAATTCTCAGATTTTACTCGTCAGTATGAGTTAGAGGCGGAGTATATGATTAGCGCAACCTGATTAATATTCATGAATCCAGTAGCTCATTAATCCTTAGTGCGTTTTTATATTGTTCTTATTAGTAGAATTCGTATAATAATAATAATAATAATAATAATAATAATATCTTATCAGTGTTATTGTTCGTTTTTTCTACAGGAATACTGAATGACCAAAAAAAGCACCAGCCGTAAGTTCATGGTTACCAAGTTTTAATTCCAATTACTAAACTTCTATTATTAAGTGTGAGAATGGACAGCACCTGAGTTAAATATATGAGTGTCACAGCAAAGGGTCTGAATACTTAGGACCATGTGATATTTCAGTTTTTCTTTTTTAATAAATCTGCAAAAATGTCAACAATTCTGTGTTTTTCTGTCAATATGGGGTGCTGTGTGTACATTAATGAGGAAAAAAAATTAACTTAAATGATTTTAGCAAATGGCTGCAATATAACAAAGAGTGAAAAATTTAAGGGGGTCTGAATACTTTCCGTACCCACTGTACACACAGAAATGTAAAGGTATTCACGGCAATCAGCCAATACTGAACCCTAGGTATCGGAATCGGTATCGGAAGCGAAAAAGGCGGATCGGAGCATCCCTAGTTATAAATAGAAATTCTGCCTATGTTTGTATCTGTTACTCGTTTTTATTTTATATTAGTTGTTCTTGTTGCTTTTTTGCAATAAATTAATAATTTATTTATTTTTAGATATTTTGTGTTTAGATATTTATATTTTACGGGAGTCCCTCAAATCATTTTATTCTCCCGTATCCTGCACACACACAAGTATCTACCCACCTGCACTCGCACATTAACGCTGTTGCGTCGGCGCCAACGGGAGTGCAAGTCTCTACTTGGAAGAGCCAGGACATTTTTTTTTTATATATATATATATAACTCCAACGCCATGAAAGGAGAGTACAGAGAAAGAACTTCACCCATATAATTTTTTTTCTATTTTGTTTTCACTGTACTACAGAATGAGCGCCAGGAGAGCCAGCTGACAACGTCGATTGTCCTCCATGTGTTTTTCTTCTCAAGTCACGTTTGACATTGGTGACCCTGAACCACAAAACCAGTCTTATGTCGCTGGGGTATATTTGTAGCAATAGCCAAAAAAACATTGTATGGGTCAAAATTATTGATTTTTCTTTTATGCCAAAAATCATTAGGACATTAAGTAAAGATCATGCTCCATGAAAAAATTTTGTATATTTCCTACTGTAAATACATCAAAACTTCATTTTTGATTAGTAATATGCATTGCTAAGAACTTAATTTGGACAACTTTAAAGGCAATTTTCTCAATATTTAGATTTTTTTGCACCCTCAGATTCCAGATTTTCAAATAGTTGTATCTCGGCCAAATATTGCCCTATCCTAACAAACCATACATCAAAGGAAAGCTTATTTATTCAGCTTGATGTATAAATGATGAATCCCAATTATAAATCTCAATTTCAAAAAACTGACCCTTATGACGGTTTTGTGGTCCAGGGTCACATTGGGCATCCAATGGAATGATATTACAAACCCTTTCATTCTATCAGGCAGTTCTAGTTAAAAATGAAAGAATAGCCCTTTACACTATGTGGTTTCAGATAAACGGGAAGTAGCACTATGACACTAACAAACACAAATGCACACAGACATGCTTCTCTGAAAGTGCTTTTCCCCAGTGGCTGCTGTGTGTCATTAGCCCTCCTGCTCAATACAAACAAACCTCTGCCATCTCAAGGGGCCCCACAGCTTCTCTCTCTCTCAGAAACACAAATTTCCATGTGAGAGAAGTCTGTCTCTATAGATGAACACTGAGTGTTGTCAAATACTTTGACATTAAAACAAGGAGTAAGGTCCTCTGCTTTAAAGCCCTGTAGCTCTTCTACTACACAGAGAGGCATGCTACAGTCCGCCTTCCTTCCTGTCTTTCACTGAATGATTTACATGGAAATAGCAGTGTTTTACTGTGCTGGGTATACGTGTGCTGGGGGAGGAGATTCAACAGTCCAGGAATGTCTGCAGCTCTGAGGAGGAACAGAAAGTCTTTGTCATCCTGAAGGTACTTTGTAGACTCACACATTCACATGAACACACATGCATGATCAAATCAATCACACATTACTCACAGAAAACACATGTCTGATATGTGTTCCTTGTTTTTGCTATAAGAC